CCCACTAGACTGCCGTTGGTTTTTTGTGGGTCCCTTCACCAAATCAGACCCAAGCACTGGTGTGGGGGAGGTTCAAGGCGCTCCCCCCCCCCCGCTTTCGCTGAGCTGAAGAGCCTGGGAAGTGCTTTGAGCAAGGCAGCAATGACTAGATGGGACAGGTTGGCAACCCCTGGTCCCCTGAACCCAGATGCCCACATGGGCATCATCCACAGTCTCCCCAACCCCTGTTGCTATGTCCACACTCAAGAAACCCGGGCAAGCTCCCAATCCACTTGCTGCCCTGGAAACTGCCCTCTATACTTTTCGAGGGCGTGCTCCCGAAAGGCCCTCCCCAGCCAGCGTGGTCCCTCCCCACTGCCTGCTCAGAAGGTCCAGTTCTGTTCCTACTCTGTGTCCTGCCCTCTCAGAACAGGCTTTCCCTTCTAGCCAGCAAACTCGGATCCCCACTTCCATACAGAATCTTTCACACCTCCTAGACCTACCATGACACATCCCTAAAGCCAGGTCCTGAAATCCATTTTCCCTGAAGTCCTGCCAGAGGAGCCCGTTCCCTCCTTGGAGACCCCGTGGTCCGGGGAGGGTTACAGGTGCAGGCCCAGGGATAGAACAGTGGGAATCCTGACTTTGCTGCTGGTTGGGTGGCTCGCAGCCCTGGGCAGTGATCTGAATCCGCCCTCACTGGCTTGTGGGTGAAGGACCGTAACAGGCTGCTTCATGGTTCCGAGGGGGGCCAGCTTCGCCACACGCATCAGCAAGCCCCCATGCGTCCTCTCACTAATTCCAGTGGGGTGCCACACATTTCCTAATTACTTCATGTCCATCACCCCCAAGATGAGAGTTTGGGGAGGGGGGTGACTCATCTAGGAATGTCGCAGGCTGAGGACTGAGTCCGGAAGCTCAAGCACTGGAGCAAGAAGAACAGACAGTGGGTGGGGTAGGTTAGTGAAAGAGGAATCCAAGCAGCCGCTCCTGCTCCCATGTGCTCTCTACTTAGGAAGTGGGGGTCAGCCTCCCCCTTTCTGGAAGAGGATTAAATGAATCTCATGTCAGGGGAGGAGCGTCTGGGGCACGGTTTGTCCCAGACAATCAGTGGCTTGCAGTTTGTTCAGGGGAGAGCTGTCTAGACAGGGGGAGCATCGGGGTGGGGGGCGGGCGGAGCAGAGGCTCTGTGGGAATCACAGCGGGGGGGGGGGGGGGGGGGGGGGGCTTTCCAGGAGCCCACTGAGCTGCCACTGTAGTCTTTCTTCCTGCTGGTGGCCTAGGTCCTGGCTGAGTGAGTTTGCTCCAGCAGTGGAGATGGATTCCCAGCTTCAAGTGGGCAGCACAGAGAGGTTCCCCCCACCTGGTGGTAAGGTAAAGGGAAGGCTGCAGTCTCCATGAAGGAAAGGCAGCAATAGTGATCGAGGGCTTTTTATGCGCCAAGTTCGATGCTAAAGCTGAACAACAACATGTACTGTGCTCTGTACCCCCACGAGGAAAGGGCTGCTGTATTTCCATTCGATGAAGAAGCAGACACAGTAGTTAAGTGGCTTTCTCTCTGCAGGAAGGGACCTCAGTCAGCTCTCGCTCCCCAAGCCCACGGTCTTCGCCACAGATGGCTTCTCTGCTCGGTGCTCTGGTAAGTGGTGGCAGGTCAGCAAGGAGAATGTAGACGTGACCTCTACTCCCAAGGAGTTTATCACCTGAGGGCAGAGGTGAAGCTTACTTACCTGTGTTCCCAGCCCAGGGCCTGGCAGCACAGTGAATGTTGAATAAAGCACAGATTATTGTAGCTAGAAAGGTCTTTGGAGTTCAAGTTGACCATCCTGTTGATTTACAGATGTGGAAAAGGAGAGCTAGAGGGAGGAGCTAACTGGAGACTGGCCAGGAGTTTGGGCTCTGGACCCAGATGACTGGCTTGAACCTCACCTCCTCACTCGCTGTGTGATATGGGTTGGCCACTTCTCTAAGCCTCTGTTTTTTCAAAAAGAAAAAGAGGGATAAACGTGGAGAATTAAGCAAGCCATCCATGTGTGGGATGTGACATAACACATGACAGGTAATCCCATCCATGAGTGGGACGTGCATAAAGCGACAGGTAACCCTATACCACGTGTTGCTCTGATCAGGATGAACCATGAGACCTGGCGAGTTAGTAACAGATCTGCCTAGACCTCAGGCCTCCCGACAACCAGTCCAGAGCTCCTCCCAGCCCCCTGTGGCTCCTGTGTCCATTAAACTGTGATCAAGATGTCTCATAGGAAGGGACCTGAGAATGGGTATCTGCAGTCCTTAAGGACAAGTGCCCAGGTGGTCCCTGAGCCCCTAGCTCAGTGCCTCCTGTCACTCCTCCTCCCTGTCTTTGAAGCAATCCCTGCACCCCTCAGTCCAAGATTCTTTCCTACCTGGCACAGGCCCCAAGACTCCTGATAACATCCCCACACCTCTCAGAGGCCTCTCTGGGCCAGCAGGGTGGGGCCCATCCGGGAAGGAGCCAACAGGAAATTCCCCAGCAGCGGCAAGG